TTTCAGGAGAACGGACAAAACTGATCGCAGGTGCTCCGGTAGACTTCGATCTCGAAGAAGCATGGCCGCATCCTGGTCAAATCTTTTCCCGGGCAATGCAGATGGCGATGGATCAATATCGATACATGATCGCTCGATGGACGTTCCTGAACACGGAGTGACGACAAAGGGATGTCCATTGGGATGTAAGAGCTAAACAGAGCAAGCAAAAATACAAACACGAGAAATAAAGCATACACCTTTGTAGGTGGCTTGAACTCCCTCCAGGGATCACACCTCGCCACAATGATGCTAGATTACACGCAATAGAAAAAACGCCGGCCAATAGTAAGGCGCCAGAACGGCAGCGGAATAGAAGTAGCTGATCGCACTACTGCATGAGTAGAAAGCAGTATCAGTGAAAATAGAAAGCAGTATCAGTGAAAATAGGCTTCAAACGACTGGAATGAAAACAGCTTGCCAAGATCTGGAAATCGGTGACAGGCAGGGGAGAAATCTATGAGAAAGCAACCGTCCGCCGTCACGACTCTGGCGCGAATCCTGTTTCTCGTTCGGGAGAATCTTTCGAAGAGCTGACCTGCTTTTGACTCCCCAACAACATGCATCAGTAATCAAGAGGATTCCTCCCACGTAGGCCAACTTCCAGCTGAGTGGCAGCTCAAAAGAAATGGTAAACAAGTCATATATTGTAAAAGCTTTTCAGGGAGCTGCCATGTCTTCGATTTTTTTACAGCACTGTGTCGGTGACTGAGAGGGCTTCCTTCATGCAGACTCAGCTTTGAGTAAGATAGAAGACCACTAATGGGAAAGCGAGTCCACTTTGTGTGGAGGAATTTCAGACAGCTTCCGAGTTCTCCACTCCCACACAAAGTGTAGAAGTGACTAAAAGCACCACTTTCAGCCGCGCAGAGCTTTACACCCATGAGAATGCTTTTCAAGAAAAAAATTGAATCACATGGGAAGGAACACAGAGCTGCGATGCACAACGACTTCACACAGCAGTGCTTCAAGATTAATAGGGCTCTTCTCATACAGCAACAAAATTCCGTCAGCTAGCAAGCTAGAACAGCCCATCAGAAAAGAGCACAAATCCACTACTACTAACAGTTTTGAAGAGCTTCAGCTTCTCACACAGCTTTGCAGAAATGATCGAAAAAGCTATTTTTACCGGACCCACTTACGGACATGCTTTTCGAAGCAAAAAGAATCATTCCTGAACGAAGAGTTCTCAAGAGCTGTCGTGCCTTACTCTTCCACATTGTACATTAGTGAATACCCCGTGATGGCGCTGACAATACCACCAAACAAAATCCTGGAATGGAAAGAGACTACAGCTACACATTCCGCCGTGTCCAGTCAAAAGCGTGTTTCTTCGTCAGCCACCAACCGTGGATGCCAATAGAAAATTTATTAGAAACAAAAAAACACGACGATAATAATAATATAAAAAAATTCAAAAAAGCAAGGTGACGCTGCCACCGCGTCCAGGGCGCCGCTCGATGCTCACAATCGATCCCTCTCTCGGGGTTGACTCTTATATAACTGATTTCAGGCGGGAAATCGAGCACAGACATACTGTATGATCGATGCGTGCTCTACCTTTTTGATCTTCACCAACATCGAGACGAAAAGAAATAATACCTTCTGTTTTCTCTTTTTTTTCATTTGACAGTCCACATTTTCACAATAACTCTTCGGGTCCGGTATCTTCTCCCCGAACACTCGCGTCGCGCTTGACGCACCTGTCGCGTATCGCAGAAATGCGATGGAAGATTTGAGCGCGCAATCTTCGAGTTAGAGTCCTTCACTTATTTAAATTTGCTGGCCACTTTCTTCAATTGAACAATCAAGTCTAATTAACATGAAAACAAAAAAGAAGCGGAAAGAAACAATCTAAACCAATCAAAAAAGAAAGGCAGTCAACGAAAAACGTGTGTCATATTGATTGGCCGGGGGGCGGGCTGTGTACGGTAATTGCAGTTTGAAGCCGCAAG